GATTGATACTATTAAATAGTCTTAATTCTATCTCAATTTACGCGAGTTTTTGTTTATTTATTTATATATTTTTTTAATGTTTCCAAATGACCAATATTATTAATTTGTGATTTAAATCCATGATTTATTTTTTTGTGTTGACGGGTTTAGTTCCGTTCATTATTTAATTACTTTTTGATATATTTTTAATTATTATTTAAAATATAATAAATTAAATTTTAAAAAGAACTCTAAAATTAAAGGTGATTTTAAGCAATTTGAAATTTTTTTAATTTGTTTGTGTTGAGTTGATTGAATTTGACGTAAATAATATACAGAATAACTTCAAATTTAAATAACCTTTATTTTAATAGAAAGATAAAGCAATATTATATTCTAAACAAGTTATACTGCATCTATAAAATAATCGAAAAACATAGAAATAGTACTTACATATCGAAATAACTTAAAATTTAAAGTTATCAAATTAGATTATCTAAAATCAAAAATAATTTGTTAGTGAAGGATCCAATATTCAAAATGTCCTAAATTTAGAAAGATCCGACTCAAAATATATCATGTGAATATAATATCATTTATATATATATATTTATATTATATGTCTTAGGTGTCTTGTTCTTACCTAATTAAATGAACAATATTGTCTAGATTAGAAGTTTGCTATGATCCTTCTACTATTTCAATTCGATAATTTTAATCCCTTCCTCTAAATTTTAATAAATTTAGTCCATACTCTTATATTAAAAGTTGATTTAAGAAATGCTATAATATTTTTATTTTTAATTTGAATGATGTGACATTTTGATAATATCCTAACATGTTGAGATGAATTAATTTTTTGATTACATCTCACTTGTCATGCTAAAAATATCATATGTTATTTTAAGATTAAATCACATATTTAATACTTCAATTATAATGAAATTGACGATTAGATTTTTGAAAAAAAATTCACAATTATATACTCCAACTTTCATTCCGCAAGTATATTGCACACTTGATTAATCCCATTAATCAAATTAATGAAAAAAATTGAGGTTGGTACATCTCATAGTCAACAAAAAAAAATCACACAACCAAATTAATTACAGAATTTTAATATATTTATCTATTATCTTTAAATCGATTTTTAAACTTAAGATAGAAGGATTAAAATCATAGAATTGTATACCTAATTGAATGAACAATATTGCATCATATGTACCATTAATTTATATTCCTTTCATTTTTCATTTCTATATACTTAAATTAATGGAGGAAAATATTTGAATGTTAGGCCAACTTTGTTGTAAGGAACAATTACCATTAAATCATGTTGTATATGCAATCTGAGGTATTGTTATATGTGTACAGTTTAGTTGCTATAATTGTTCTGAAATTCCATCTTCTCATGATTTCTTCCCAATTCACACCTTGCTGTCCATCATCTAAGAGGATAGTACAATAATCAAATTGCCACTTTTGTATGCTTTGTCCCTTATTCTAAGTTCAACTTACTAGTATTAATTGTGGCCCCAAAGTTTTTCGCATGAACCAAATGTGATAAGCAGATGGTCAAAATTCATGAGAAAAAAGGGGTAATGGGAATTGCCCTCAAGACGTGACGGGTATCAAACCCTTTGGACAGGATAAGGTTACTACCATTATGGTAGCTCATTTGTTTTGGACATGTCCCCAAGATTCTACCCCACCAGAGTTTGGTTCAACAGGTTTTTTGAAATACCATTTCAGCAATGATGCAACTCAATATCCCTGGCCTTAAACAGAGTGAGATCCATCACCTGCTTGCTTCTACTTCAAGAAATACCATGATTTCTAAGCCTCTAGTCTAAACAATTCTAGTACGGACACGACCATCTTTCAACTGATATATATATATACACATATATATTGAAAGTGAAGGTTTCAAGATATAATATCAATAAAAAAATCATTAAAATTAATATAATTATTTGAGTAAACACATGTCAATTTCTTAAATCTTATCTGACAATGTAATCCTATCTCTTAACTTGTGGTTCCAATTGCTGTTAGAGAACTTATAGAACTATGTGCCTTAGAGTCTCACATGTACTCGTGAACCCATGATTTTTGCTATGATTCACACCATCTACAGTCTGAAGATTGGGTTTTGATAAGATTGGGGTTTGTCAAAATGAAGAAGAGACTAAAGCAATAAGTCTAAATTGCTTAGAATTCAATGATATTGCCAAATAATGGACCCCAAGTCCCTCTGAACTTCAGGTGGGACTGTCTCCCAGGAGGTTGGTTAGTCCAATCAATAGCTCCAGATATCACCCAAACATGTCAAAATTTGCCCTCCTTCTTAGTTTTTGAATGGCTAGCTTAATGGAACACGAGTCACCATCTTTATAGCTAGCATACAGCAGTTCCTTCTTCAGCTCCTTAATTGGTTTGCCTTCTCAGCAAAATGGCTTGCTAGATCCTACTTGTTAATAGCTAGCTAGGGCCCGTTCCATTATACAAAATAAAAAATAAAAAAAAAGCCCAATCTGTTAGGGCATCACAGAATTATGCCATACTGATGCTTAGCTTCTCACAATTTTTCATAATTTTCACTTATTTTTAGCTTTATAAAAATGACTAGAATTCACTACCTGCAGACAAGATTTGCTACAGGACATGAAACACTATATTTATAAGTAACTTATATCTATAAGAATGATGAATATCCTTTTTATATTTGATATCACTTAGATCTGAAAGTCAGAAATGGAAGGCTTTGCATATATATCTAAAATTGACAACCAAATCAATATGATTCTTGAAGGAAATTAATTAACAGGAGTTTCCTCAGTTGATCTCAATCAATTATGAATGCGAAAGGTGCCTCTAGCTCCTTGATGGAAGGGAGATCATACATGCAATATTTCCTTGTCAACAGCTAGCCAAGGCCACACTGGCACGCATCAATGTCAAGTTCATGAAAGTAACCAGCCTCTTTTTCTTCTTTGATTTAACAAGCAAAAACACTTGACCAAACTGATTTGGCAACCTTTATGAGGAGCCCAGATCCTCAAAAATTGATGCTGAATCTTGGGTTTGCCCATCAGATACACGTGACAAACTTCATTCATTGCAAACAGCTTTCTTCTGCTCTTTTCTTTTTTAAGTTCCATACCTCTCATTGCATGTTTGCCTTAGCCAAAACAGTGCATGAAAGCTCTGATAATTTGAAGTACTGACCATTACATCAATACTAAAACAGTTTGCTGCTTGAAATCTGAGGTCAATCATGCCATGGGACTGTTCCCTTTGGCCATTTCTGTTAATGGCTTGGGCCACATCAGATAGTGCTGAAAACAACCCTCGCAGCCTAAGGATTTTAGGGCCTTGTATGTTAAGCTGGAACCAGAATTCCTTTCTGGGATTTTGGGCTTTTGACAGGAAATATGGTGTAATTTAGCATGGATATATTTGATCTTTACAAATTAGATCTTCCAATCTCACTTCTCTCTAGAATGAGCAATTGTGGGGCTCGATCAAACTGATCAGTTATATAAAAAATTAAATTAATTAAATATTAAATTAATTTGATTGATTCCATTTTAAATCAAAAGAATTAAAATTTTATTATTTTTTTGAAATTATCAGATTAAAATTTATAAATTTTATTCATAATTATAAAATATGAAATGAATATTAATAATAAAAATATATATTTTATATAAATTTAAAAATAATAAATATAAATATTATATATTATATTAATTTGATCTTTTGATTAATTCAGTTTAAAAATTTTTAAATCAAAAATTAACCAAATAAATCAATTGAATTAATCTTTTAAACCAATAAATTTAATATATTAATTAAATGGAACTATTTTACTTAAATGATTCAATTAAATCATTAATCTAATCTAATTTTGCTCACCACTACTTATCTCCGTCTCACCCTTGGAAAAAGATAAAAGTAAAATATTTATATGATTTTGAAAGGACAGTTTCACGTCTGTATGCGTTGGGTAATGTTATAATGACCTAAAGTAGGGAAACAAATATGGACATACAAGCCCTGAACTGTGGACTGGATCATGAAGCTGCATTCAAGCCTGTTAGCCTTGGAGCTAGGCCCTAGTGTCAGAACTGAGGAGCAGCTTTGAGTTTGGCATTGCTGGAGGAGTTTCGGGTTTAGCTCAGGAAAAGGCAATCAACAGTCGAAGGTTGGCAGTTCCACCCATAGACCTGCACCCTTAGTTTAACCCTTGGCATCAGTTCATCTTAGTTTAACTTAGTAGAAACTTTGAATTTTTCATAACAGGGGTCAAAACATTTTAACTGTCTGAACAAGTTAAAACTGTCAAGTCTTCCTTAACAAAATCTGCCCTAACAGTATGGAAATCTACACATTGTATGATTCAATAGGTTTAAGATTGGGGACTGAAACTTTGTGAATGTAAGAAACTTTTTCCAAGACTCAGCTAACTTGCATTTTGTAATATCACAATCATTCAACTAATGAAAAGCAAAAGAATCAAATGTGACCATTTTTCTGATATGAGTTGAATTGAATTATATATCGAGAGAAATTTTATCCTGTTTTATTTTTTTATTCATTTGTAATAATTTTTTTTAGAAAATTTAATACGAAAGAATTGAATGTGGGAAAATTTAATGGTGGAAGAATGGAAAAGCACTTCAAGTTCAAGTTAACCAATGAAATCAACACCTTGGTACAACATGATAAGATGAATCATAGTCCAACAAAGGCATAAGCATCTTTGCAGAATTGGTGAGGGCAAAGAAATGTGTACGAAAAAAGGCTGACAAGAAAAACAAAACGAGGAAAATAAAGGCAGTTATTATGTGTAATTCAACCACACATTGCGGGAGGACTAGAGAATACAATATAAGACAAAGAAAAGAAGTCCCAACTGTTTTGGCCACAGTTGATGACACCACCTAACCTAACTTCGGTCCCAATTTTTGAGCACGTGGCAAAATATGAATAAAAAAATATTTTAAAAAAATGCTCAAAAGTGTTCCCGTCTCCGATGACCAGTAACGAGCTGTCTCAAATTCCCATTTCTGCACCAAAGAAAAAACAAAAAAAGAATCAAAATTTCAAGCTTTCTTTACTGCTTTAAAACCCTAAATTTCAATCATATATAGAGATATATTGTAATTTATAATTTATAAGCTCATGGGTTGCGCTTCTTCTCTTCCAGGCAAAATCCCTATCCGATTACGTTGACTTTTTTTTTTTTGCATTTTTTTTGGCTTTTTGGGGTTTTTAGTTTCTAGGGTTTTACTCATTGATTTGTGAAGAAATATGTTATCTTTGTATTTGGTCGATTTCTTTGGGTTTTGAGCTGAAAAATTTGATAGCTGAATTGTGGATTTTTAGTAGCTGGTGATGTAGTTCTGGTTTGTGGTAATTAGGTTTGGATGTTGTTAAAAGGCTTGGAATTTGGTTACCTTTTATGAATTGTTGTTAAATTTGATTTTTTTTGTGGGTTTTTCGATTGGTTGCAGGTAGGAGTTCTGGGCGTTTGACTGGACTTAACAATGCAGAGAATTCTGGAGTGCCTGATGCCAAAAATCTACGTGTAAAGGTAAATATTTAGCTCGGTATTCCATAGTTTTACTTATTTTTTCTGGAACATTTGAGATATTGATGTGGTTAAAGAGGTGGAGTAGAAAGGTTTTGGAGGCAGTATTTTACTTTTACTTTAGTTTTTTACATCATTGCTTTGGTTTGAATTTTGTCGTGTTCAAAGTTAGAACATCTGAAATGAGTTGATATCTGTGTTGGTTTGCTTTAAGATCTGAGGTTGCTCATTATATTAGACAGTAATGACTCTTTTAAGGATTTGTTATTGGCCAAGGATGAGCCAAAGTGTTCAATTCTTGTAAGTTTTTAAAGATATTAGCAGTTGAACATATCAACTTTGTTGCACATTGGTATAGTTTAGTTCTATAGCTCTCTTTTTGGGGTTTTGTAAGTGGCATCTTGGTTTGTTCAGAATCATTTTGGGGATGCCACTTAGAGCCTCTCTTTAGAAGATGGGATAAAAGGACTCAAGATTTTATAATCAGTTTAAAAATTAACGAGCATTCGGTAGCTACACGTTTCAGATTATAGTTAGGATGCATTTATGAAATTTAAAATCCTAATCAATTTAAATGCAAATATTTTAGCACATTTTTAACAGCAGTGTTCTAAGCATGTTTGGGTCGCTTCTTCAACTTAGCACTTAATTTTGAAAATATCATTTAAAAGATTAACTGATATATTGATACTTCAAACTGGATCTAATGATGCTATGTAATTTTTAACCTACTATTTCTTTAATATACATTCATTACTACCATCATGATCTCCATTTACTAGTAATTATGACATCACCACTTCAACTTGTATCTACACTGACCAAATCTGCTACCATTAAAACCCCAACATGCCATCCTTTCTTTCCACTACCTCAACCAGCCTGATATCTTTTTCCATTTGCATTGATTAACATGTAAAAATGTGTTGCGTCTTATCCATATCTTAGTTTGCTTCAAGTTACTATATGTGCTTACTTTAATTTCTTTTTCCCCACAAATGTTTGGAAGTTTCTCTAAGGTTAAAGGTTTCTTCCTAAACAAATTTTTCTATTGTTTCTAAGGCATTCATAAAGTCTCATGAAGCACCTAATATTTAGTTTTTTTGCATTTAAGAGTTTTCAGTCAAATGGTGCTCAGTTAACTCCATAACTGATGCATGTCACACCATAGGAGGTCTGTACCGTTTAAATCATAGGACCTTGTACATTTGAAAATTCTATTGTTTCATTAAACAAGCAAGAAGCAGGAAGACAATCCATTGTGGGGAACCTTTATAAAACTAAAGTCTCTAATCAACAAGTAGGACTTGAAAGATGTGCTGCTTGCTGTGCCTTTCTTATATGAAGGAATAAAAACTGCAATACACTACTTTTCATGCAGATGGTAACAATCTAAGATGCACAAATCACATGAATATAGTCAATAATATAACAATTATGAACTAAATATGCAATAAAGTATTCAGTAAGGTGATACTTTTCTTATGCTTTTTGATTAAGTCTTCAGAAGTTATAGGCTACCTTCTTTTTGATAACAAAGTTGGTATAGAAGGATACTTAAGCTTAGCTGAAGATTCAAGGTGGCTCTTGATTTCATCTTTAGAAACCTAATTCAAGAAAATATGAACATCTGGAGCATTTGAATTATCTTGGTTGTAGTAAGATGAATATATGAAAAAAATCTGTTGAGAAAGGAGAAGCTTGTTTTGACCTTTCTTTTTTATCACACTTGATTTGCTGCTGATATTTGCTTTTCTAACAATGCAACTGAATTTTGAATATTCTTTTGCTGCTCACAGCTGGTCTTGTTAGGTGATTCTGGAGTTGGGAAAAGTTGTATTGTTCTTCGCTTTGTTCGTGGCCAGTTTGACCCTACATCCAAGGTAAGGTGTATTTTCTTAATTCATCAGCTTGTAACATGCCCCATCTGGCTTTCCTTTTGAGCTACATTTTGTTCAACCATACTCAATCTGATTGATGTTAGCATCTTCCTTCTCTCTTTAAGGGTGAAAAAGTTCTATTATGATGAGATTTATCTGATTTGTTGACCTTTTATTATTTCAGGTAACTGTTGGAGCTTCATTCTTGTCCCAGACAATAGCTTTGCAAGATTCAACTACTGTTAAGTTTGAAATATGGGACACAGCTGGACAAGAGAGGTATGGTTCTCAAATGCCATGTTGATATGTAAGTTCATGTTATAACTTTCACAGGAAAAGTGCATGATATTGTGATCCTTTCACCTTACTTCTTTTGTATTGTAACTGAAATCATAATTTAGTTTACATTATGCATTTTACTTTGTTATGAACACTCCTTTTTCAGGAAAGAGCTTATTGTTTACTTTGTCTCCTTCAGGTATGCTGCATTGGCACCTCTATACTACCGAGGAGCTGGAGTTGCTGTCATTGTGTATGATATAACTAGCCCAGAGTCATTCACCAAAGCACAATATTGGGTTAAGGTAGTTTCTGACGATTGCAATAGTGTTTTATGTTTTATGTTTTTTTTAGAGAGTGAGATGGGGGGGAGGGGGGTGTTAATGGGGTAGGGCTGCTTCTCGTTCTGTTCCTTTAATTTTTATTTGTTAGGATTATGATTATTTTCCTGCATTTTAGAATGTGATGAAAGGTTTGGCTGAGGTAGTAAAACTTCAAAAAACATTTTGTACAATTACACTGTTGTCTAGGGCTGCATTTCTGATAAGAATAAGCTTTTACATAGATCTGGAGTAGTATTCTTCGTGGGATAAACATATCACATGGAAGGTCTAGGTTTGACATTGTGAAGCTCTCTAGAAGAGCATTTGAAGAAACTTTTCCAGTTTCCATATTGGCTTGGTGTGACATATTTTAATATTTACTAGTTGTATGTGTTGTCTGTTATAGTGCAAACTGCAAATTATCCAGTTGATGTGTTCCTCTCTCCCTAATTTTACTGTTGTTTCCTGTTTTCTGGGTGGTAGTGTGACAGTTCCGGTTTTTGATATTTCTGCAGTGTATGCCAAAATGAACTCGCATTCTTTTGGGTTACTAGAATTTCTAGAAATGGTTTTTGTCTTTTTTTCATGAAGAAGTTTTGTCCATGGGTATGGACTAATTTAAAAAGAAAATTTTATTGTACATTTCAATTGATGGATTGGTCCCCATAATATGATATTTAGTCAAGCCATTTTGTTAGAGGGAAAATCTAGATTTCTTGCATGCTGAGAACAATGCATCTGCTTAAGATGGTAATGCAACTGGCTAATCCGGTCATCTGATTACCTGCTTCCCCTTGAGAGAGTCTGAATTTGGATTCAGTTTCTAAATGAGTCACAACCCAAATTTTGGTCATCCCTCCCTTCTCTTTTCATTTCTTTGTTCCTTTTTTCTTTTTTTGCTTTCTTTCCTGAAAGCCTTGAAGGTAATTATAGAGCACTTTATGGCGGTAAATTTTCAACTTCCATTCATATTCTCTTATCTTAGAAGTTCAAAGGGAAAGGAGACTATTCTGCACTAATGTGTCACTTTAACTTTGTTAAAACTCAAGAGTCTTTGTGCTCTTAAGTTGCCAAAAGATTGATGTATTTTAGCATCTGGCAGGAGCTGCAAAAACATGGAAGCCCAGATATAGTGATGGCTTTGGTTGGTAATAAAGCTGATCTTCATGAGAATCGAGAAGTACCAGTTCAAGTTAGTGCCAAAATTTAATGAATAGAGATCCCTTTATACGTGCAGAATGTATATTTATCTTCTAACATGTGCTGTTTTATTCTTGAAGGATGGCATTGACTATGCAGAGAAGAATGGGATGTTCTTTATTGAGACATCTGCCAAGACTGCAGACAATATAAATCAGTTGTTCGAGGTATTTCTTCTATATATTTATACAGCAATTAAATGATTAATTATTAATACTCTATGTGCACTAGTATCAGTTCTGGAAGGTTCATAGAAAGTTATTTTCTCATTCTTTCTGACATTTGACAAGGTCAAGATTTTTATAGGAGTTACTAAAGATAACTTAAATGTGATCAAATATACAGTCTCCCAGGAAAGATTTTAGTCTATATGTCGCATGATTTACTAGTTTTTTGATAATTTTTAAGCACCGTCCTTGGTGTCATTTTTACAGTTAATGTTGATAGTATCAGAGTCTCCAAAATCAGGTCCTATTCCTTAGCTCTTAATGGGAATTGCTTGAACTTGTCAGCAGCATTCTAATATAAGATCACTACTATTAGTGTGTACTTTCTGTTCAAATTTGGATAGTAGTTCTTTGCGTCACGAAAATCTGTGTAGCCTTTTTTTCACGCTACACTTTAGGTGTAGGGAAACTTCCTGATACTTGTTCATCTTACTTATTTGTTTGTTGTTATTGATAACCTCTTTTTATGTCAATGAAGTACTTGAGCCATCAATGCATAGTTTCTTGTCATCTAAGTGTATGGCAACCCTATCTAGAATTGTTCTCGCATTGTCAAGGTTTATCCATGATTTGGGATTGAAGGGTTTGCATCTACTTTGGCAGGAAATTGCTAAGCGACTTCCCCGCCCATCATCTTCATGATTGGAGGACTGTAAGACTGAATTAACTACATAGATTTTAATGTTCTGGATAGTTGTAATATTAAGTTTGTGAATATTGTGGTATACGTGACCCTTTGATGTATTCTTACTCTATGATATAATTCTGAGTCCGATTGAAGACATTCAGTTGCTATTATCAGCACATAAACCTGCACATACTCGATTGATTGGTTGTAACCATTAAGATTTTATATCTGACAATCATGTCAAAAGGAGTGACATCCCCATGTAGAAAAGGATCTATATGTTATTGCTTTATGCCATGTTCCACTCACTTCACAGCCCTTTTGTTTCTTCTGATTTGCAAATTGATCTATGAAAAGGTGCCAAAGCAGTAAGATTGATTTTCTTATCCTAGCCAACATGAGTTTAATGGGAAAGACTGCGGTGAATTGAGACATGAAATGGTGCATTTGTATGTCATTTTCGTTCCAGTCAACAGTTTAGATTGTAGTTTCCCCACGGCCTTTGCGTTAACTTTATGTTTCAATTATGAAGCTTGCCTGGCGTGAACATGAATGAGAAGCAGACATGGCGTGAACATGTATGTCATTATGAAGCATAAAAGAAATGATTTTAAGTTTTCCTTACACGGAATGATGCTTTTGCTCATCCCATACCGTTATCGATGAACAAAACAAACAAATGTAAGAAAATAGTTTCTTTTATTGACATAAAAGGTTAAAACAATTCCTATAATGTCACAGATTTTATAACAATGAAAATGAGATGATTTTATATTTATAAATATGATCTCCCTTCACGTAATAGATATATCTTTTAAATTGGAGTTGTAGGTCACTGATAAGTGATATCACGCTTGAAGTTGATCCGGATTACGGTGAATCTCTCTCCCCTGCAGGCTCTTGTAGACGTGTATTTTACGCGTTGAAAGTGTAGATGTAGCCCCTACTGTCCTGCAATGTAAACCACCATCAAAGTTAAAGCTCCAGAATCAAGATATAAGAAAGGCCCAATGCAGGACAACGATCCTTTAGGTTTTATGGGCTGTGTTTTGGGCCAGATGGATTATGTTATTTGTTAAACCCAGGTAGAGTGGATTATAAGCCCCCAAAATTGAAATTAAAACACATAAGCCCTAATCTGGAACCTGTTGCTCTACAAATGTGCCCTAGTGAAAATTCATGATTGCTTTCTTCTTCCTCTTCTTCCAGCCGACAAATCGAAGTCTTGGATTTGGGAATTCGATTTTGAGATTTTGCCGTTACCAATTTGAAGAAAATGACTGATTACGAAGAAGCGCGGTACCAAGGCAACGGAGACAACCTCGATAACAGTTATGCCGGAGGTTCTTCACCACAGCCTCGCCCCGATGATCAAAACGATTCCAAATCTCAGGTTAGATCGCCTGAAATGTAGCTTAATTTTGCCTTCTCTTTTTTTACTCTTTTTTTGAATCGATTTTTGGTTCTTTTAGTTTTTGTTTAGAAGAATTTTTTTTGAAATTTAAGGTAGTTTTGCTGGATTTCCATTTTTTTTTTACCCTAAATGAAATTTTAAGGTATTGTTTTGTTTGTTATCTTAGCATAAGGAATATTCTTGAAGAATTAGAAATAAAAATATATAATTTTATTTTTAGATTGAACAATTGCCTTAGAATTAGTGTTAAATTTTAGTCTTTTAGTTATTTTAAATCAATGACGATTTTAGTTTATATCATTTTCTTTTGCTTTTAAGCAATTAGCAACTAGAAAAAAATAACAGTAAGGCAGCTTAATTTTTGTTCGAAGCTATGCACGATTAAATGAGGTCTAGGCATATTCTTCATGATAGAAAGAAAAAGCTCTTCCTGCAAAATAACTTTCTCATGTGAGTTTCATGTTTGTGCTCTGAAAATTGGTTTTCTAGTGATATAAGTTAAAATGCAACTTTCACCTTTTGCAGCAAGGATCTCGGGATTATGAGAGGGAGTCCTCTAGAAGTAGGGAAAAGGATAGAGAGAAAGGGCGTGACAAGGAAAGGGACAAGGACCGTGATCGCCATAGGGACAGGGACAGGGATAGGGATCGAGAAAAGGATCGTGATCGGGACCGCCATCACAGAGATCGTCATAGGGATCGTAGTAGGGAACAAAGTGAGAGGAGGGATCGGGGAAGAGATAGGGATGATGATGATTATTACCGGAGTCGAGACTATGACAGGTAATTTCATCTGTAATATGAATTATTGTGAATGTTGCTCTTTTCTTTTTGTTGCTAATCATTATTTGTTAATGAGTTATATTTGCTCAAATGTTATTAACAGAAGAAGGGACTATGATAGAGACAGGGAGGACAGGCATAGGCGCCGGTCCCGATCTCGTTCAAGGGGTAGATCTGAACACAGATCAAAGTCAAGATCTCGTTCACGCTCACGCTCAAAGAGGTAGATCCTAAAAGAACTACATTAGAAAACTAAGATAGCTTCAGATAAATATTCTGGCTCCTGGTATGCTAACTTCGAATTTTCCTTTCTGGCAGCAAAAGAATTAGTGGTTTTGACATGGCCCCTCCAGCTTCAGCAATGTTAGCTGCTGGCGCTGCAGCAGCAGCTGCTGCAGGTAGATATGCCTTTCGTATAAAACTAATATTGTTATACTTTGTTAACTGCTATTTTTGTTTTTGGATGATCTAGTGTGGAAACTTCGTATCAAAATACTGGTGTGGTTTTGGTAAGCTGTACCTTTTTTTTCCATTTGTATATATCACCTTTTAAGCAGTGATCTTGTTGAAGGGTTATAATATTATTTTAAATTTTTTTACTTGGTGAAATAATTCTGGAACTGAGAGAGCTTTGGTTTTGTCTTGTGTTTGGTGTTTGTTTGTTTGTTTCTATGTTTTTGTCTATGTTGTAAGAAGGCAATGGCGTGAGCCGACTTCTGTAGCTTTTATGTACAAGGAGGATTCAATGCACCAGTTTTGATGGTATTGTACGTCTTCAACTGGCAACTATTGCCTGTTTTGGTAGTCTTGCTAAATATTTCCTCCAGAACTTGCATGTGATGAATTCTTTTTTCTATCTCTAAAACTGTGAGAGGCTTGGATATGCTATGGAAATGAGGCTTAAAAGTCTTTATGTAGATCAACTGCTATACAAATATGATTTTGATTTATAATTATGTCCTCATATTAAATCCGAATTTCCTTTCAGGCCAGATTCCTGGGACTAGCCCAACCTTACCTGGAGTGTTTCCCAACATGTTTCCTCTTGCAACCGGTCAGGTATATATTTCTCTTATGCACCTGACAGTTTTTGAGCTTGCTGTATGTGCTGTAACTTTGTTTTATTTTGGTTTTGCTGCAGCCATTTGGTGCTCTCCCTGTAATGCCAGTTCAGGCAATGACTCAGCAGGTTAGCAGGATTATGCCTACATTGTAGTGCATACTGTTCTTCAGAAAATATTTTTCTTATATTACAGAAATTTATAGAATTTATCTTGTGATTTCAGGCTACTCGGCATGCTCGTCGGGTTTACGTTGGAGGGCTTCCTCCTACAGCAAATGAACAGGTTTTACTCTCTACTGTTGTAGCATTATTATTGTTATGCTTGCATATAAAGCCGATAGTGACCCTTACTATTATATTACAGTCAGTTGCAACATTCTTTAGCCATGTCATGGCCGCAATTGCTGGAAACACTGCTGGTCCAGGTATGCTAAGGGTTTTATTTGTTTTTAACATGACTGAACTACCTGCCTTATTTCTTCTATAGTTGCTCATATTTTTGTGTTATTTTCAGGGGACGCTGTAGTTAATGTCTACATAAACCATGAAAAGAAGTTTGCTTTTGTAGAGATGAGATCTGTTGAGGAGGCCAGTAATGCAATGGCTTTAGATGGGATTATTTTTGAGGTATCTTTATTTTCCTTTCGATCTTGATGCTGAAATTGTTTAAATAAAATATGTTATGTTGACCTGTTTGCACTTTCAGGGAGCACCTGTGAAGGTGAGGAGACCTAGTGACTATAATCCCTCGCTTGCTGCAACTCTTGGTCCAAGCCAGCCCAATCCCAGTCTTAATCTAGCTGCTGTGGGTCTAACTCCTGGTTCTGCTGGTGGGCTTGAGGGTCCAGACCGCGTATTTGTTGGCGGGCTTCCGTATTACTTCACAGAAGCTCAGATCAGGGAGCTATTGGAGTCTTTTGGGCCTCTTCGAGGTTTTGATCTAGTAAAAGATAGAGAAACTGGAAACTCGAAAGGCTATGCTTTTTGTGTTTATCAAGACCTGTCAGTTACAGATATAGCTTGTGCTGCTCTAAATGGGATTAAAATGGGTGATAAAACGCTCACTGTTAGGCGAGCAAACCAGGGTGCTACCCAGCCTAAGCCAGAGCAAGATAGTATACTCCAGCATGCACAGCAGCAGATTGCTTTGCAGGTGGGATTAGATATTATTGTTTTCTTAAAAATCTTATACCATTACATAAACTGCAATTTCAGGCTGTTGTTAGGTGTGGTTTGTAGGCTAAATCTGATTCTTTTTGTTTTTCAGAGGCTTATTTTGCAACCACAAGGTGTGCCTACAAAGGTTGTGTGCTTGACTCAAGCACTTAATGTAGATGATCTCAGAGATGATGAGGAGTATGAAGACATTGTGGAAGACATGAGACAAGAGGGTGGAAAATATGGTAAAATTCTTAAACAAACTGATGCATCATTTTCTTCTCTGGCCCTCTTTTTTAACATGAAATGTCTCATATATTTTTATTAATTTTCTTTATTTTCTTTTGTGTTTATATCTCTGTTTTACAGCCCTTTCTTGTTCCACATTCTGCTATAAAGAATCAAGCCTAACATACAGACAGAAGACTCCTAACCCTCTATCTATATTTACTTGATAATGCTTTCTCTGACTTAAATTCTTTCCAGAAAAAAAATGTTTTTCTTTTTTTCCTCATTTTGTAGATTCGAAATTTTTACACATAATATGCAGGTGCATTGGTGAATGTTGTCATCCCACGCCCAAACCCAAGTGGAGAAGCAGCCCCAGGTGTAGGGAAGGTCAGTTGACTCTTTTTACCAGGGTTTTTTGTTTTTTTGAAGACTTTTATTTATCCCATCATTGTCTAGTTGTCATCTTATGTATATAACCTAATTGCGAGTGAATGCATTGTTTTGATGAACCTGCAGGATGATTTCCTATTTTATTTCCCCTATGTTACTGACTGTAAATCTCCGGTGTTATTTAGGTATTTCTGGAGTACTCGGACGTCGAAGGTTCAAAGAAAGCTCAAGGTGCTATGAATGGTCGGAAATTTGGTGGAAATCAAGTTATTGCCGTGTTTTATCCGGAGAACAAGTTTGCAGAGGGGGAGTACGATGGCTAATTCAATTTATATAAAATAATAATATTCTCTTAGCATATTGTGCTTGTGGTACTGATTTAATGTTTAGGTGTTTAGTATTAAGGAATTTTTGTAATGGAATTCCCTGCCTTAACTACGTTTCCAGTAGCCTGGTGTTAATATGTTAAAACTAGTTGAGGAGATGAATGTGGTCTTTATTTATAATAATTTTTGAATTCTTCTTAGGGCAAGGTTCATCGAGATGGATTTGTTCACATTGGTTTTCAAATTTATTATTTTTATCAAATTATTTATAATAGTAAAAATTACAATTATTATTCATTCTATGAAGTGAGTCAAAAACAAGTTAAATAAATAATCCAATATCAAGTTAATAAAACTTGCGCATGTTAATATTTAAATTTGAGATTTGATTTTTTTTTAAAATTTTTAGGCATAATACCCAAAAAAGGAAAATTTAAATGAATTTTGAACTTTTAATTGTATTTAATTAAAATTTTTAATATTTTATTATATATTAAATAAGTTTTTAATCATGATAAGACATGATAGGAGGTGACATAGTATATTATAATTTGGATTAATGATAATTAATTTTTATGATTAAGGTAAAAATATATGTTTGGTTTATTTGAATTTGACGTTAGACATGTTTTATTATTAATATTAAGAACGCAATGAAACATTTTAATGTAGCACTTCACCATTTCTTTCTTAATTTAATGTAACTGAGGCTTCGCCATTTTCTATTAGTTGCTATTATAATTGTGAAAGAAAAAAATAATTTTAAAAATTAATGTTTATAAACAAAGGTGAAACTTTTATTTGCAAGTCATACCTAGGATCATTGCGGTTGAATTGGTAGAATTAAGTTATATAAAAATAATAATTGAAAATTATTTTTAATCCATTTATTTATATTTAATTTTGAATATTTTGATTTCAAAATTTTTTTTAAATAATTATTAAAAGTTAGTAAAAATAAGGATCTGTTTAGTAACCGAAAAATGATTTGTTGGAGAAAACTTTTTTGTGCGTAACAGAAAAATTTAATGTTTTTTGTTATTTGAATAAACAGTTGAAAACATCTTTTGTTATTTGGATCATTTTATAAAAATTATTTTTCATCATAATGGAGTTATTTAGGTGTTAAAATAATAAGTAAGAGTTAATTACAAAACAATATTGATATTTCATTTTCATTAATTTGGAATTAAATTTAAAAATGAAAATAAAAATTATTAAATTAGTAATGATATTTTGCAAAGCATTTAACCAAATATGTGTAATGAAAATAAATTATAATTTTTTTAAAAAAATTCATCTTATCACTTTTTATCATAATTATAAAAATATATATAATCATCCATTACGTAAGATATCCAAAACTTATATTTATAAATATATATTTATTAAATAATAATTATTGAAATATTTTTTATTATAATTATTAGTAAGATATAAACTTATTATAAATATCTATTCATCAAATGATGATCATTAAAATATTTTTTATTATAATTATTAATCAAAATTAATTTAATTTATAAATAAAAAATTTAATTATATTGAATGATTTCATTAAAAAAATATTTTTTTGATTTTAATTACATTGTATAATTTAAATATCAATATTTTAAATTAAAATTTTTAAAGTTAAATATTACTATTTATTATATTTATATTCATAAATTTAATAAAAAATATTTTTTAATTTTTTAAAAAATACCTTAAGCTTTTCAAGAACATAAAACATTTTTTTGTAATTAACTTTATTAACTCATAAAATACTTTTTATTTAAAATTAACTCATAAATCTTGAAAATATATTTTTAAAAATATTTTACTTCAAAACAAAACGGATCCCAGCGTGGGAAAAATAAACGTACAAATTATCTACAGGCTGGGACTTGTCGAAGCCACGTAAAGCTGTTTCCCCAATTGGCCAACTCCCTCTAAACCCCTAAAACCCTAATTATTTCTGAGTTGGCTCACTAGTTCCTTCTCCCGCCCAAAACCCTACTCATACTTTCTTTCTTTTTTTAAAAAAAAAGCTCAATTTCTATCGAAATCTCTGCAGTGGACGCGAAAGGTGAAACTCAGTTTATTCAAGGTATTTTTTTCTTAGTTCATTAATTCTCCATTTTCATTTTCTTAGCTTTGAATTCCGCAATCTACTTGTTCGACAAGCTTAATAAAACATTGGGTATTCTTGAAATACATCAATATGCCCATTCCACATGATCAGAATGATTACGTCTCTGTTTTTGTGGATTTACAGGAATGGTGGGGCTTTCTGTTGGAGAAAAACATTTCATACAGGGTGGAATTGCTCAAGACCTTCGTTCCGATGGTCGAAAAAGGTTAACTTACCGACCCATATATGTTGAAACTGGAGTTATTCCTCAGGCATGGACTAAATTCTCTCAACTGCAACAAACACTATATCTATTTAACTTTCTTTGAGATGAATTTTCATTGAAAAGGATTATGACAGGCACATGGTTCAGCAAGAATTAGGCTTGGTGCAACTGATGTTATTGCCAGTGTCAAGGTATTTTTTGTTCACTAGACGCCAAAATTTGAAGATTTTTCATGTTTCCTTCTTGTCTTAGGTGCACCATAATATTGTTTTGCTAATTTATGTTTTTGCAGGGAGAGCTTGGAAAACCAAGTGCATTGCAACCTGACAAAGGAAAGATTGCTATATATGTTGATTGTAGTCCAACTGCAGCACCAATGTTTGAGGTGGTTTGGCTTTACAGCTGGATCTTTCCTTTGTTGATTGAATTGGTTGAAGTCAAATGAATATTTTCATATTCCACCATCTACTTGGTTTTTCATTTTATTTCTTTGTTAATGTTGGTTAAGATAAAATTGTAATTCTGTTTACATAGAAAATGATATGGGGTGAGTTGGAAGAGCAAATAGTTTTTCAAGTTTCATCATACACTAACTTTGTTGGTGTTAATGCATTCATAATTACTATACATCCATGAATGTATTTTCAAAAATCTTCCTTGGAGAACATGATCTTTTATGAAGAGTTGTAAATGGAAAGTTCTAGGCCCTCTTTAGAGTGTTTGTGGATTTCACTTGCATGCCATTATCTTTTTCTTGGATGGTTCAACTTGTGAATCTCACTTGTGATGTTTGGGCGTGTGAGTTTCCTTTCCTCTTGGTCATAGTAAATGGGCATTTGTTATTTTAGCAGGGACTAATTTTGTTCTAGTCTTGACTTTCTTCCTTTTGCTTTTATACATAGTACTCTGTAATTATGACTAATCAAGGTTTGTCTGTCGTTTGTCTTTCACCATGTTATTCTTAATCCATTATTGCTTCGTTTTATGAGTTAAGTTCTTGTATTCTATTTTGCACAGGGTAGAGGGGGTGAGGAGTTGTCAACAGAACTCTCAGTTGCTCTGCAGCGTTGCCTCTTAGGTGGTAAAAGTGGAGCAGGTTGACATTCTCATAGATGGTCACTCTCCTGTAATTCATTGTTTTGTTTCTTTTTTCTGCTTAGTCACTGTAATTCATTGTTATTTTAGCTTTTGTTGCTTTTCTTCAGTTTAGTAACATAATCTCTTAAACCATTTCTGCCAGGATCTGGAATTGATCCCTCATCTCTGGTAATTGTGGAAGGAAAAGTTTGCTGGGATCTCTATATTGATGGGCTTGTTATTAGTTCAGACGGGAATTTGCTAGATGCCCTTGGTGCTGCCATTAAGGTATTTTAGTTATCTGACATTTTATTCTTCTCTCTCTTGGTTCGGGTTTGGTTGGGTTTTAAATTTCAAATGAACTGCAAGTACAGAAAAGCAATTATACCTGTTATTTGATGAAATGCAATTATACCTGTTATTTGATGAAAAGCAATTATCCTAGCATTTGTGCTCCAGTCTGACTTCTCAACTTATGTTGTCAAATTGAGTGAGGATCTGTCTGATAATCAACTCCTAATAATACCCTTAGTCCCTAGAATTTTTGTAACTATTTGATTGCCTAGATCCTATATTTAATGGTATCAGGCACAGTTAGGTGTCTATTTTTGCATCAATCTAACAGTTGTCAAAGTTTCCATGAGGTATATGCTTGAGTTTTGTCATGTTCACATAAGTGCTTCATATTGAAGTGAAGGGTTGAAGTAAAATAGCCTTTCCCACAATTCTAATCTAAATTCTTTTCTGTCAACCTCCTTTTGTACTTCACTTTAAATGCCTTTTTGTTAGTTTACTTTGATACACATGGTGATTTTACTGGTTCTGAAAAATCAAAATTAACTAATCGACTCTGTTGTTTGCAAAGGCTGCTTTAAGCAATACTGGCATTCCAAAGGTCAATGTTGCATCCGAGACATCAGGTGATGAGCAACCTGAAGTCAACATAAGTGACGAGGAGTTTTTACGGTTTGACACATCTGGCATCCCTGTCATTGTTACACTGACGAAGGTAAAGCTTGCTGTTCTTTTAAAATTTCTCAATATTTTTTGAAGGTTTGCTATTTCACCTTTATTTTCTTGCCTTCTGCTCTTTAGGTGGGGAGGCACAATATTGTCGATGCTACTTCAGAAGAGGAATCCCAAATGAGCTCAGCTATCTCAATTTCAATTAACCGGAAAGGGCGCATTTGTGGCCTTACCAAACGAGGTGGCGCTGGCCTCGATCCTAGCATTATTCTTGACATGATTTCTGTAGCAAAACATGTAAGCGAGCAACTAATAGACAAATTGGATTCTGAGATTGCTGCTGCTGAAGCTGATGAAGAGGAATCATGACTTTGTTTTCAGAAGCTTTGGTACCCTTTAAAAATTTGTGGGTTACTCCTTTTCTGGATTGGGAGAAATAGGATTTGGAATTTGTTGTATAATTTATTTTTTTTTCATGAACAACCATAATTGTCAGTCTGCAGTATAGGTTAATGAGATGATTTTCTGATTTTTCTTTTTCATCCTTTTATCTAACATGGTTTTTGGTTTGCTGAAAAGCATTATTTATGTGTTTTATTCGAGTTTTAACAAGATTCGAGTATCTTTTTAATTTATTGGAATTTTAATAGAATGCAGGTATCTTCTTAATTAAACGGATTCAGGGTAAGATACTTAAAAAAATAGGATTTTATTCCTTTACATCCCTAGTGGTATTGATAAATTCAATTACATTCAACTGATTCAGTAAGATGAGGATTAATACACACATAACAAAATAAACCAACTCCAAGAAGGATTAGGCCTTAGGGTACAAACCTTATGTAAGTTATATATAAATATTCCTAAACTCTCTCCAACAAGTTATTGTGATTCTACATCAACAAAACAATTTTCTGCCTTGGAGAGAGTTTTTCCTTCAACCTATCGAGAACACCATGTCATCGTCCAATAATTCTGGTAAGGTATTAAAGCTGAAGAGCAAGGACAACCAAATCTTCGAGGTCGAAGAATCCGTGGCCATACAATCGGAGCTGATCAAGAACGTGGTCGAAGCCGGCTGCGACATTGGTGTGATTCCGTTGCTCACGGTGCATAGCAAGACCTTAAGGAATGTAATAGAATGGTGTCAAAAACATGTTGATTATGTTGAAGAAAACGACAGCGGATCAAACGAAGAAGAAATCAAGAATTGGGAGTCAGAAATATGTGAGGAAGGAAACAACAACGGATCAGACGACGAAGAAACCAAGAATTGGGAGTCGGAAGAAAACAACAACGGATCAGACGAAGAAGAAGCCAAGAATTGGGAGTCGGAAGGAAACAATGACGGATCAAACAAAGAAGAAGTCGAGAATTGGGAGTGGGAAGAAAACAACGACGGATCAGACGAAGAAGAACTCGAGAATTGGGAATCGAAATTTGTGGACGTCGATAAAGACAGTCTTTATGCGCTTCTCTTAGCTGCGGACTATCTCAGCATTGACAGCTTGCTGGAACGAGTTATCAAACAAGTTGCGGATGTGATTAAACAGTGCAGGAGCGTTGAGGAAGTTCGTCAAACTTTTGGAATCAAGAGTGATTTTACTCCCGAAGAAGAAGAAGAAATTCGTGAGGAGATTTCTTGGATTGATTAATTGATTTAATCTTGGAATAGTTATCAAGATTTAAGGCTTGTATTTGAACTAGTTTTACCTACCTTTGATTTTTCTTTTATATCCGAAGATCTTAATTTTTCTCAATTTTTTGATAATTTTTTATTTATATTAACTTTAATTGAATTCCCATTTTTCTTATTTCAAAATTTAAACCTAAAATCTTTGAGTTAAACTGTCTGAAATCCTAGATTAAGTCAATTCGCAAACATTATTATATTGAATTTAGGAAACAATATAGAATTATGTTTTAAAAGGAAAGAACCAAATATATCTTATAATATGAAGCCATCTATAGAAGAGACTTGTGCGGGCCCTCAAGCATGAGTATAGAGAATCTTTGTGGGTCTTTTGCTTGTGGCTTTTATCATTTTAAGTAATATTTATTTATTATTTTTAAAGGATAAAATTTGAAAAATTAAAAGTTTACATTAAAAAGAACATAAATTAATTCAATTTTATATTTTCATACATAATAATAATTTTATAAATTTATATTATATTTCTAATGAAGTGCTTTCAAATAAAATATTACAATGTAATCTTTTCAACTACCATATTCTTTATAATTATCATTTTTTCATATATACTAAAGGCTATAATCTTATATTTACAGTAATTACATATTTGATAATCACATAAACTTAGTGTTTTGTAATTTGATTGTTCTAATTGAATTTCAGAGAAAAGAAATACAAACAAAAAATAATAATAATAACATGATTTTGAACCTGATTCTGATTGGATTCCATTCTTGTAAACGAATCCAAGCAACACCCACGGTAAGCAAGACAAAATTGATGATGGGCCGAATTCCACTATATGGCTACGTTGGACATGGATGTAAGGTGGCAGGACGTCATATTCAACATTGCCCTACTAATTAGGATCCCAGTTATGATTTCAAAAGGGTTTAAACCTACAACTGCAGATTCAAAGGCTTTTGCTTCCATTTCTAGCAATTGTTTGGGTGATAATATGATACCACTTGGATTTTACTGCCCGTTGTGTAAGAAGGTGATGAAAGATGATGCTTTGACAAAGTGCTGTTTCAGTAGCTTTTGTGACAAGTGCTCAAGGGATCACATTGTTTCCGAGTCTGGTTGTGTTTCCCAAAGGAAAATAGTGGCCGCTGATATTCTGCCTAATGTGACTCTTAGAGATATGATCAACCGAATTCTGGATCAATCTGGAAACTGGAATTCTGACAATGGTGGAGCCAGCTTTGCGATTCAGGATACTGCATCAAAAGCTGATCAGAAGACAGAGATCATTGCTCCCCCACAACACGCCTCAGAAAAAGTGAAGGAGCCAACATCGAAAGGAAGCGTTCCTCCTTGCAGAAAAAGAAGAGCAACAGAAGAAAGTAATTTCGGGTGAGACGGGACAGAAAAGGAAGAGGAAGGTCTCCATGGTGCCAATTTACCCAGAGTGGCAAACCTCCCAATATGTTGCAGTTGACAGCTATATGACGCCTCTACACTACTCTGCCTATAATCCATACTTGGCCGGTATGTATCCTGGATTTATGTCACCTTATGCAGCTGTTATGCCACAAAATGAGAGGTTCACTGCCTTTCCAACAGAGACGAATGTTTTGCGCAACCCAGGAAGAAATCCAAAGTAATAGATTCATGTCTAGTTTGACTTGTGAATTATAGGCAGTTATGGTTACAGGTACAACAGAACAGTTTTGTTGAGAGAGTTTATAATTGTAAATCTTTATTTTTTTTAATAAAAATTATTCGTTTTCTCAAAAAATATGGTTGAATATTAAATTTAATTTAATTTACTAAATATAATTCATCATGACTAAAAATTGAATGAATCCAAATATAGTATTGAGAGTACTTGAACCTGAGAGTTAATAATTTGACATAATATACATAACATTCTTTCTCCTTGGAAGAATCATTTGAAATGAATAAATACAATCAACAAATCATAAGGATTACAGGCTTACAGTCATCTTTGAAGCTGTTCACCAAGCTTCAGTAGGCTATAGGTTTCAGCATCTGGCCTAGCCCCTCCGAGAATCATCCTTTTCAAAAGATTTGGATCATAGATTTTGGCCTTCACATAAGCCTTGAACAAAGTATTGTACACAAAGGTATACCGAGTATAGTTAGCTTTTTTAAGCTCTTCAAACAACTTCTCAACATTCTTTACGTCACCTTTATCAGCAAAAATCTCAATCATAAAAAAAGTGGTCTCCAACCATGGTGTTGAACACCTGACTTTGTTGCTTGTTGGGAAATTCATACCCATCTCTAAAGTCTTCAAGCTTTCCTCCACCAGTCCTGCTCTTAAGCACCCCAGAGCAAGGTGTCTAAAGGTAATGGAATTTGGTTTGCATCCGTTCATCCTCATTTCTCTGAAAACCCCAGTTGCTTTGCTTATAAGCCCATGTTTGCAATATACAGATATCATAGAATTGAACTGCTCGGTTAATTTCAACCTTTTTATTGACTTCATTTGTAACCAAAGCTCTTCAGCTTGACTTAGCTGCCCTATCCTACCATATGCTTCAATTGCCAGCATATAACTTTTAGACCTAACATGGGAAAACTCTTGGATGGTGCCCCAAGTTCTCTCCAGCTCCTTCCCCTTCCCTAAATACCCATACAATATTATTAGGACATCTAGTGTCGACCAGTTATTCCCCGTCATAGCCTTCACCACAGCCTCAACATAAGCTTCAGCTGCAGTGTATAACCTTGCCACTGCATGTGCAGTAGCTAGTATGCAGTAAGATATCTCATTTGGCTCAACTTCTACTCGCTTCATATCATAGAAAACCTTTACCAACCCTTCAATATTGTGCTCATGTGCCTCTATTTTCATCAGAATATTGTAGGTGGAGACATGTCGCACCACCTTATCCGCCTTCATTTGATTTAGAATTTTCGGAATGGTCTTCCTGCGGCCCAGAGATGAATGGAGGATTATCAGACGGTTGAAAACCAAGTGCGAGATAGGGTGCCTCAATTCCCTCATTTTCTTCATATACTCGAGCGAAAGCCTTATCATGCCTTTATCCAAGCATGCAATCACAAGATTATTGTAGAGCAACTCATTCTGAAACTCCTGAGGGACACAACTAAATAGTTTTTTACCTTGCGATATCCCATGGAGTTTAGTTGTAAACTCCAACAAGTAAGAGTAGTCTAATTCTTTCGGCCTGTATGGTCTCTCTCTAATCACCCATTCCATCGCCTATCAGAAGTAATGAAATCCCCAGTGTTAGATCCCCTGCCGTAACAGAGACTTGTCATACCTTGAACTTTAAGTACAAAGGCACATAATTTCAAAGGGGTTACACACTTTGTGCCAAAGCTAATAGATTTCTATAATATACATGTTATGCGTCAAGTGCTCAACTAATGAAATGCAACGCCTTTTCTATTTGTTTGCCATAATATTGCTTTAAGATTCTAGCATAGTAGTTCTCAAATGTAGACAAAATAACAACTCAATATTTTAAATAATAAGTTCTTCAGCATTATGTACTTCTTAAAGGGGAAAAAAAGATAGAAATATTTCCATGCAACTGAGCTTATTAACATTTGACAAAGTTGAGTTTAAGCTCCACCCCTGTTTTGGAACAATTTTTTTTTTTCTTAGCAATCAAACAGAAACTATAAAAACCAAAAATTTTAGACTAATTACTGAGAGAGAAATTTACCTCAAGAGCACGTTTATTCAATTTAAGCTTCCTCAAACGATTAATAGCGTGAAAAATGTCCCCTCTATGAACAGGAAACCCATCACCCATCCAGCTTTTAAATGCTGACCCAACTGTTTCTCCTTTAGGAAGTCTCTCAATTCTCGAAGATAAGCACTTGGGTTCATCTGTTTTCGGCTCTGAAGTTTGTCCTTGAAGGTTATCAGCTGTTCGGGAACAAAGAAACTTGAGAGATGAGACAGTGGTATCAAGTGTTTGATGTATTGCTCGAAAGAGCCTGCGTTGACGTAGCAGAGCCGCCGCTTGCATGCTTCGGCTCTGAGCTTCTGGCTAAAGAGTAGGGTTTTGTAGCTTGGTAAGTATTGGGCTCACAGATAAGCCCATTTGCCAAGACCGAAAGAGCATAGCTCAGTTTGCTGTTCTTGGATGATTCTGCTAATGTCTTATTCTTCTGAGTTGAACTGAACTGGGTTTTCGACCAGTTGCTTAGGTCAGTTGGCTTTGAATTATATTTCATTGATAATTGCTGAAAACCCATTTTTTCATTGAATGTTTAACTGACCAGAAGATTTGGAATTTGATTGGTTATTAGACCTAGTAAAATATTATTTGCAGTGGATTAGCTATAATCTTGCAATCTAATTAGAAGCTTATTGCATTAAAAAAAAGTACATATTGTTGTTTTAGATATGTAAATTATCAGCAACATCTTTGTTTTGACATAATCTTCAAAAAAATTCACATAAGGGCACATTCTTCTGTTACGTTCAATTAAGTTTTAGTATTTTTATTTTAAGTTAAATAAGTTCTTATAGCTAATGGTTGATTAATTATTATTAATCAAAATATCACTTATCATTTTATATTTATATGATTTTTACGTAAATGTTAAAAAATATCATATAATTATATTTTTATGCCATAACATGTTATGTACGTCATCATCTATTATGATATTTCAACATAAACATTAACGTCACATGGTATAAAATAGTAAATGACATTTTAACTAAATCAACCATTAATTATAAAGACTTATTTGGTTGAAAATAAAAATACAAGAATTTCACTAAATGCAATAAAAGAACAAAAATTTACTTGAAATTTCGTAAATAATTTAGAGACTATTTTAGATATTATGTCATTTGTTTTCAAGAGAATAATTGAATGATTAATAGGAACTTGAAACATATTTCTAAAGAGGTTAAATTATAATTCTAAAATTGACAATGTCAGAAAAATCTTAATAGTATTAAATTTTTTTTTTGTCATTTATATTGGTATAGTATTTTCTTCTTGATGTGACATTAGATATAATAATTTGTTAATAATCATGTGACATTGCTTTTATCTATTTTACAATTTGAAATTATAGAGCACAACAATTCAATTATTCTCTTTGTTTCACAACACTCTTTCCTTAAATCTTATAAATC